CTAAATAAACCAACTCCAAACAAGTACAGCCACTAAATAAACCAACTCCAAACAAGTACAGCCCCTAAATAAATAAACCAACTCCAAACAAGTACAGTCACTAAATAAACCAACTCCAAACAAGTACAGCCACTAAATAAACCAACTCCAAACAAGTACAGCCCCTAAATAAACCAACTCCAAACAAGTACAACCCCTAAATAAATAAACCAACTCCAAACAAGTACAGCCCCTAAATAAACAAACTCCAAACAAGTACAGCCACTAAATAAACCAACTCCAAACAAGTACAACCCCTAAATAATTAACTCCAAACAAGTACAGCCCCTAAATAAATAAACCAACTCCAAACAAGTACAACCCCTAAATAAATAAACCAACTCCAAACAAGTACAGCCCCTAAATAAACAAACTCCAAACAAGTACAGCCACTAAATAAACCAACTCCAAACAAGTACAACCCCTAAATAATTAACTCCAAACAAGTACAGCCCCTAAATAAATAAACCAACTACAAACAAGTACAGCCCCTAAATAAATAAACCAACTCCAAACAAGTACAGCCCCTAAATAAACCAACTCCAATCAAGTACAGCCACTAAATAAACCAACTTCAAAACAAGTACAGCCCCTATATAAACCAACCCCAAACTCTTTATTAACAAGAGGCCCAGAGGGCCTGTATCGCTCACCTTGATAATAAAGCAACCATGGGAAACTATTCTTATTACAAACAATCCCTCCAATGGCACAGAAGAAGTATTTTAAAGAACTAAACCTAAAATTCCCCTTTTGAGCCCCGCAACTCTGAATCAATCATTTATACAAAATTAAGACCCCTTTGCCCAAAGATGCTCCAGGCCAAATTCGGATAAAATCCCTCAAATGGTACATAAGTTGAAGGATTTTGAAGATTTAAACCTCAAATTTCCCTATTGTGCCCCGCTCCTTGCACCCAAAGGGGCCACATCCACCGTTTATACAAGATCAAGTCCTTTTTGCCCAAGGATGCTCTAGACCAAATTGGGATAAAATCCCTCAATCCCTATGGTAGAAAAAGGATTTTAAAGGTTTTACCTCTATTTCCCCTATTGGACCCGGCCCCTTTGCACCCTGGGGGCAACACCCACCGTTTATACAAAATTGAGTGCCCTTGGCCCAAGGATGCTTCAGACAAAATTGGGATGAAATCCCTTTATCCCTACTGAAGAAGAAGGATTTAAAAGGTTTTAACTCTATTTCCTCTATTGGGCCCCGCTTCTCGGCCCCCAGGGGGGGGGGGGGCCACACCCATCGCTTATACAAAATTGAGTCTCCTTGGCCTAAGGATGCTCCAGACCAAATTAAGTCAAAATCTACTGGGTCGTTCCATCCAGGTCTAGTTTTAAAGGAAAAGTTGACGGACGGATGGATGGACGGACGGACGATGGACGCTGCGGTACGGCATAATCTCACCAAGGTCCTTCGGACCAGGTGAGCTAAAAATAGAACCAAGAACATGTTTGTGTCAGTCTTTCTATTAAACAATTAACCATCATACTGTGGCATCGGACTTGGATTCCTGAATATTTTCCACTTGAGTAGGTCTCCTAACAAAAATGATAATCAAAACAAGAGGCCCAGAGGGCCTGTATCGCTCACCTGGTTATTTTGTTACATGAAACTGACATATATCGGTAACTTCAGACCAAATTTGGTAACTAGAACACAAGACATTTTAACATCTCTTAAACACTTCTCAAGATATTGTTGTTTGAAATTTGAAATTGTAATTTTAAAGCTTTTAACCCACGTTGACGTTCGACTCCGGCTAGCACATAAAGTTGACATTTGACCTCATTACTGTAATTAAGAAAAAGATTCCGACTGCTGGTCTACATAACATACCGTAGTATCATGACTCTAGACCAAATGCTTCTTAGGATATCGTCGTTTGAATGTTTTTTTTACATTTTTGAGCCCTGTGACCTTGAAAGTAGGTCAAGGTCATGTTAATGAGGATACTTTCTAGCACTCCATCCCAGGTACCTACTGGCCAAATATATATTTATATATATATCTTAACCCTAGGTCCTCCAGTTCTTCAGAAGAAGTTGTTTAAAAGAAAAAGTTGACGGACGGACGTTGAACGACAGATGGACGCCGCAGTACGGCATAAGCTCACATGGCCCTTCGGCCGGGCCAGGTGAGCTAAAAATTGTATGCACATCTTCGAATATATTTGAAAGCTACTGAGTTTCAAACAATCATCAGTGTTAAGAATGTGTATGTCGATCCTTAAATAACACATAAATCCTGTTATAGAGCTTAGGGAACTACATGTACTGATGTTGGTGGACACATGTAATTTCTGAAAGAAATCTTTAATCTTGACCAGATCAGTCTTAGTCAAAAGACCTTTAAAATCAGACAGAAATCTACAATGGTTTTGTCCTGAAAACAGGATCTTTAAAGCCTTACCTGTTAATTAAGTTAAAATTACACCAAAAGACCTTTCTTTAATTAAATATCTATCAATATCTACCGATATTTTATAATAAGACATAAATGTACTTCAGTGTTGTCTTGAATAAAAGGAACAGGTTGTTACGTATGAATTATTACAATACCAATTTATGTTTCTATCGTTGTAGATACAGATATTAACATACATGTAGAACCCTAGTGTTGTCCTGAATAAAAAGAACAGGTTGTTACATTTGAAATATTACTATTAATTCATGTTATAACCATTATAGATATTAACTGTATATCCACATGAACATGTAAAATATACCTTACATACACCTCTGATGTCACAAGTTTATACTTTTGATTATATAATACATCACGGTACACAGAAATTATGCAAGAGTAAACCTAGTACTGTAATAGCTGCGTCGGGACCCGTAGATTTTAGGCCCGATCATTTCTTTATTTTTTTTTTATTTTTTTCATTATCGGATCATATGTAGATGACCCGAGATCATTTTTTATTATTATTTTTATTTGAACCATAAATGGTCCAATAAAAAAAAAAAAAAAAAAAAAAAAAACGATCGGGCCTAGAAGCTACGGTTTCCACAACTAATACTGTAATAGCTGAGTATCTCTTTGTTACACAACATAATAATATACAACATGCGAGTCCTAGTGCATGCATACCAATCTTGAAATCTTCTACATAGATAAACAGCTGGTTACATTAGACCGAGGAAAGCTACTAATAGTCTGAATCATTAGATTGTTACACTGATTACTGTATGACTCATTATAATTAGAGTACCTGTTGTTGGTTATAATTATCTGTTACACTCTTTGTCTGAAGCTCCTTACCATGTAATATGAGGATTTCTGTCTGCAGCAGAATAACTACCTATAATGCTACCTGTGTAAAGTCCTGTATCCCACCTGTTTACAATGACACATCTGTTTATAACATTGCATCCTGTTTTAAAGTAAGAGTCCAAAGTCCATAAACATTAATCTAACCCTCCTGTAGCCCATATATATGTTACCTTATGTATGGACAGAAACTAACTTTGTAAATAGAGTGTATCTTAATGTCAATCACACAATATGTGAATAGCATATATATAATTCAATTAAGAAAAGTTAAACACAAAATTTCTTGTTTTGTTCAGCATGCGCAGTCTGTAGTGGGTGACCATGTACAATGTACCTATCAGCTATTTAACAGAAATCAGGACAATCCCTATTACTTGATTGTCATCTTGCATTTTGTTTGTCAAAGTATTTTAAAAATTTGCAATCACAGACCATGCCCTGCAGCCAAATTATGTTATTGACTGGGATAACTCCAAAGTATTGGACAGAGAGAGCAATTTATTTTAATTCAAGGGGCAGATATAGG